CTTTCCCCAAACAATCAGGCAGAGAGGTTTTTCTGATTGCCATTATCTAGAATAAACTAATGCCAGAGTAAGAAAGATCTCCAAAAGGAATTCTAAGGCCCCTATACTGTAATCCTTTATTCATGACTATGTCTTTAGTCATATAAGCTTCACATTGGCTTCACATAAATAAGAAATTGAAGGATTGACCCCTTTTGTTAACGTGTTCTGATCTATGAATGAACATGAATATATACACATATAGTGATGGGGTCAGGCCAGACAGCTACAGGAGAGTGGTAGAAAGCAGGTATATTAGCCCCAGGATAAGCAGGTCCCTTTTCCCATGGTAACTGAACAGGGGTTACTTCAGGTTAATTAGGACACTTGGGGCCAATCAAGGGGCCTGCCAGAACCTGTTAAGAGCCTCCCCTCCAGCCAGATAGGGGCATGATAGGAGCTGTGGGAGGAAGGTGCACTACTGGAGAGCTGGGCGGTGCAGATACTGACAAGCACCAGGAGGGAAACCCCACAGGTACAGAGGCGAAGGGCAAGGGAAACCCTGCCCAACAGAGTGAACAGCCCTTCCGGGCCCCAAGGTCTGAGGGAAGAGACCCCACCAGAGGCGAGAGACTGAACTGGATGTCTGGCCTGTTGCCACCATGCCTTTAGGGGCTACTACAGACTAAGGGGGTCCCTTCCATCAAGGAGGCTGGGAGGAACCTTGCACAGACAAGATGTGGACAGTAAGCCCAGGGACATGGGGAAATTCGGAGGGAGAGAGGAATACCCTGGCTCGCCGCTAAGAGGAAGCGCGAAACCCACCAAGGCCGAGATGGGGCTCTGTCACAACTGGTGTTAGGGATGGGATTGTGACAGTGCAGCGGACTAAGCTTAAAAAAAAAAAAGACAGAGTGGGATTTTTCTTGTCCTCACCACAATGGACGATGTGGTGAGGGCACTAGTACAGGCCACGGTGACTCAGCAGAAGGCCATCCAGGCTCAAGTGACAGCCCAGCAGGAATCAATGCAGTTTTAGCGTAAGACAAACCAATTACTTATGAGTCAGGCGACCCAGGACCGAGCCCTCCTGCGAGAGGTGATGGATCAGATAAAAACTCTGAACACCCTAGCCCGTGGGCCCAACGGGACACAAGCGCTGAGGGCCACCAGTTATCTACCAAAGATGGCTGTGGAAGACAATGTGGAGGCATTTGAAAGGATCCTTTGAAAGGATCGCATTGCGCGAGGCCTGGCCCCAAGACCAGTGGGCCAGCATCCTCGCTCCCTTTTTGTGTGGGGAGGCCCAGAAGGCTTACCATGATATGCCTGCAGAAGCCGCAGCCAATTACCCCCAGTTGAAAGCGGAGATCCGGCCCGATCAGAGATGAGGGTAGCAGAGCAGGCCCAGAGGTATCACAAGTGGAGATACCAACAGAACAAGCCTCCGTGGTCCCAACTATTTAACCGTATCCACCACACATGGAAGGGGCTGCGACCTGAGGCCCGTAGTCCAGAGGAGATTCTCATCATAGATGGTACATGAGGGGACTGCCACCAGACCTTCGCACATGGATAGGCCAGAATGGCCCCTCCTCCTACGATGAGGTAGTTGCACTGGTGGAAAGATGAATGATGGCCAAGGAACTATCCCGACCACCCAGGGAAGATTCACTCTTAATCAAACGACCCGCCCCGATCCTGGGAGTTCGGACAACCTAGCACCCAGGAAAGTCTAGGTGGAAGCAGAGGAGCCAAGGACCAGCCAGGAGCCACGAAGGGATGAAGCAACCTGGGCAGAAGACCGCGGGGTCCAACCCCTTAGTCCAAAGAACAAAAGGGGTTCCTAGGACCACATATAGGTGTTAGGCACGAGGGGAGTTGGGGCACATAGCGTCCCAGTGTTCCAACGCCAAAGAGCCCATGCAGTGTAACCTGGGGAACTGGGCAGACCTGTGCACCCTAATCCACCTCGTGGCGGTTGCAGTGACTCCACATAAATATACAAGGCTAGTGAGCCTGAATGGGGTAGAGACCATGGCACTTGTGGACTCTGGGAGTGCTATCACACTCATCTCGGGGAAGCTAGTGAAACGTAGCTGTAGCCAGCTAACGCAGGCCAAACGTACTGGGGGTAACATGCATTCATGGGGCAGTTAATTATTACCCCACCATCCCAGTGAAGACTGAGATACAGGGGAACGTTACTGGAGTAACAGCAGGAGTGGTCCCTAAACTCCCAGACCCCGTACTCATAGGAGGAATTTCCCAGGATTTGGAAGCTTGCTTCCACCAGAGGGGTGGGAGGAAGGAGAGGATCCCGAAGTTAATGAGTTGTCCACAGCAGAATGCCAACCCTCCCGACTTTCTCTGAGATATCTCAGGGTCTGTTCCCCGTTCCTGGGAGGGTCAGGAAGGGTATGTATGAGGTGAACTGAAAAATAGTATTTCTTTTATCATTTTTACAGTGCTTATATTTGTAAACAAAAATACTATAAAGTGAGCACTGTGCACTTTGTATTCTGTGTTATAATTGATATCAATATTGAAAATGTAGAAAAACATCCAAAAATATTTAATAAATTTCAATTGGCATTCTATTGTTATAAGTGCGATTAATCGCAATTCATTTTTTTGAGTTAATCGCATGAATTAACTGCAATTAATTGACAGCCCTAGTTTTGACCCTTTAAGGTACACTTAAGTCAGATTTTTCAGGTTTTCTCTGCTATCATGAGGGCTAGAAACTTTTTTTTAAAATAAAAGCTGACAGTCTCGCGTAATCACTTGTTCCTAGGAGCTTTATGTAAAGCATCAAATATCATAAGACTGGCAATAAAATGAGCACTGGGTCTCTCATCTCTGCTATTTCAACAAAAGAGACAGGAAGCCTTGTATTTGGGTTCCTGCAGGTCAGATGCTTGCTCCTAGTCTCATGTGCTCTGTGACTACAGCTCTCGGTTTCAAAGGGCTCAAAGGCTGTAGCAGCTACCCTAGGAAAGGACTGTCTCCATAACTACACATTTTCTCAGGAGATCAGTGTTAGGCAATCTTCAGAAAGGATCACTAATCTAAATTCAATAGCCAACCAGCCATAATATTTTTCCCCACAAAAAGACAATTGATAGTTTAGATTGCTAGGCACAATTCAAAACCAGACATCACTGAAAACCTCTAAGCACTAAAATAATGGGAATCATGTCAGGTTACTTAATTCTGGCAGCAGCCTTAAAGGGTTAAAAATCACATGCTTACCTTGTTTATTTAAAACTTATTACCATTAGAAGTAGCACTTAAGGATACTGTAACTTCAAGATAAGAAACTATTCTATTTTTCCACTCTGCTTTCTGGGTTTGACCGCACTTTGTGGCATGGCCAGTTTTTCTTGTTGCTTGTGTGGGTATTTCACACAGCAACAGGGAAGAGAAAACCTTATAAAAAAAAATAGGAAAAATAGGAAAAAAGTTCAACAGAACCACAAAAAAATTGGCAGAGAAAGTGTAATAACTGACCGTACTTATAACTCTTTTTTGGAAACTGACTAGCTTGCAAATGAACTGTTTCTTTAATACCTAGTTAATGCATGCACACACCAACTACTGTTATTTCCTTCATTTTTAGTGTTCGTAATAATCTCTCCTGTTTTTAATTGCTCTTAGCCTCCTTAATTGTAACAGATTTTCATGTGAATTGAGATTTTTTTTTGTTGTTAAAGTTGTTTTATGCATTTGGGATGAAGGAGAAGCTAGAAAAGATTGACAGAGCTACATATAGGCAGCTTGGTTAGGAAATAATTAACCGTCTGTGTGATACATAAACCATTTTAATGTTTTTTAAGGATGTTAACTACAAAGAGAGGAACTATGCTGCACAGTAAATGGAGGTGTAATTTGAAAAAGGAGAAATTTAAGCCACATAACAGGAAATACTTCTTGACAGACTTATTAGGATGTGGAATAGTCAGAGAACATGGTAGAAGCCCCATCACTTTGGATATTTATAACCAAATTGGTCAAACCAGGAAATGTACTGTAGAAAACAGACATTGGAAAGGAGATGGTATGGATGGTCTAAATAGTCTTTTTAGAGTAGCAGCCGTGTTAGTCTGTATCCACAAAAAGAAGAACAGGAGTACTTGTGGCACCTTAGAAACTAACAAATTTATTAGAGCATAAGCTTTTGTGGACTACAGCCCACTTCTATGCATCCAAAGAAGCGGGCTGTAGTCCACGAAAGCTTATGCTCTAATAAATTTGTTAGTCTCCAAGGTGCCACAAGTACTCCTGTTCTTCTTTTTATAGTCTTTTTAATTTCCAATGTTTATTAAATAAATAAATAAATAAATAAATGGAAATGTCCTATCTCCTAGAACTGGAAGGGACCTTGAAAGGTCATAGAGTCCAGCTCCCTGCCTTCACTAGCAGGACCAATTCCAAATTCTTATGTTCAGCACTGCCACCAGAGTGAAAGTTTCATATCTGTCTAAACAGTAATGTGATTCTTCCACTAGAGGGAAACCATTGCATTTCCATTGATTGTTGCTGTATTGAGGAACTGTGAAGTCCTCTTAAACAGTGGTTTTCAACCTTTTTTCATTTGCAGACCCCTAACAAATTTTGAATGGAGATACAGATCCCTTTGGAAATCGTAGACACAATCTGAAGACCCCCACGGATCCACTGATCACAGGTTGAAATCCACTGCTCTAAAATGAGCAGTAGATTTTTGCACAAAAATTTCTATTGAACCATAATGGCTCATTTTTACAGTATTCTGAAAAGTCAAGATCATTTGTTTCAAACCAAGTCACAAAATCAAACAAGCTGAATTCAGTTTAAAATAAAAGGTTTCTTTTCTTTTCTTTTCTTTTCCTATTTTTGGTAACAGTCTCATATGTTTTTCCTTTAACAAATGTGGTAACGTACTGACACTAACATTACAAAGCAATTATATGTCTAAATGTATGTTAAAAAAACTACAAATACATTTTTAAATCAGATTAACTGAGGGAGACACCAGATAGATGCAAAATTAAATTCTTTGCTTTATTCTTCTAGCATAAATTTTTAAAAATCTTTAAATCCTTATTTTCTTCAAAACTGTTTCAGTATAAAACTGTGGACTGCTATTTGTTACAAAAACAAAGAGAAAACATTTACACAACATAAATTAATAAAATGTGATTGTGAATTGTGTATCAGAAACAAAACGTAAGGAAAGATTACTTTTTAAAGAATGGAAAATGTTATACCACCTAAACAACAATGATCAATTTAATTTAATAGGACATCATCAATTAAGAAAATATACTTATATCTGATTTTTAAAAATAATCCTACTATTCAAGTAACATCCATGACCCCGATCTTTTAGTCTCATCCATATGGGCAATTTTGCTACCTCTATGCAGAGCTCCACTGACTTAACTGAGACTCTACATTGGTTTAAGGCAGGGCTGGCTCCAGGATTTTTGCCGCCCCAAGCTGCGGGGAAAAACAAAAACGCCGCGATCGCTATCGGCGGCAGGTCCACCGTGCCACTTTCTTCTTCGGCAGCAATTTGGCGGCAGGTCCTTCCCACCGCCGCATTGCCATCGAAAGAGCCCGACGTGCCGCACCTTCCCCTTGGCCACCCCAAGCACCTGCTTGCTGGGCTGGTGCCTGGAGCCGGCCCTGGTTTAAGGGTCACCCATATGAGTCAGATTGCAGATTTGGCCTAACATTACTATAAACGGAGAGATCATCAAATTTTCTTTTTCTCAGTTTACTTTGTGCATTTGATAGCACCCGGTGTAGAGTCAGTTTCAGTGGTTTCCTCCTATAATCTGTTTTCCTTTTTGTTTGTGTGGATCACATACAAAAATCCAGCAAAAGGGGAAAGGATTTAAAAAAAGGGAAATGTGATTGCAAAACCACAATAAATTGGTATGGGGAAAGACAGGGGCAGGTGTAGCATCTGAAAATACTTTAAACTTATTTTTAGAAATTTACTAGATTTCAAGTTGATGGTTTGCGATAACTTGGAAATGGTTGGTACATTTTACAAGTTCTGACTTGGTAACACAAAACCAACAATTCTTTAATGTTAAATGCTCTTTATTATTGTCTGCAATCCTATTATTGCATAAGGGTCACATGTATCTTAAGTTTAATAAAGCTATCAAATTGGTAGACCAACCAAAAAGCCAAAAACACACACACACACACAAAAAATACTTGTTTTGATTTTTAAGCAACACTGTTTTAAAACGGTGAGTGAATGTGTTTCTGGTTTTGAATGGAAGCAGGAATGACTGACTGAACATACATTGTTTGATTACAATTTTGCACATGCGCAGATTTCAGAAAAAAGGGTTAACAAATGTAGATGTGCAGCAAATATGTAAATTTGTCCTTCCTCAGCCAATTGCAGTTGAAGGATATTCTTTGTTCTTTTCAGGTTAAAACGCACCTCATTTTGCACAAATTTTGTGTAACAATCCAATTCCTTTTGAGTAAAGTTTTAAAAGCCCAGTTCCAAATCTTCTAGCTCCTTTAGGAGAGCAGCCTCTTTCTGAATTTTCTCCAACTAGAAAAAACAACAGCACAAGATCATACATTTTGCTTATTACACAGGAGGTAAAAAAGCAATATTTAATGCAATAAATAATGTACATCATTGTTAATATGCAAGTCTAATAGCAAAGAATAAGAGTGCAGTAATTTAACAGCAGAAGACATAATAAAGACTCAAAATACAGAGGCTGATCTAGTACCACATTCTATTTTAATGTTTAAATTATGCATGCAAATTGATAGTGTATAAAAATACTAATTTTTTAATTGAAGACTTCATATTATTGCTATTTTGGATCAGTCCATTACGTACATTCTCCACACACCTTACAATACAGTAATAATTCTTTCCACTTGTATAGCTCCTTATATCAGACATACAATCAATGTGTTTTACAAGTGTGAAAGTGCCACTGTCAACCTGAAATCTAGTGAATTTCCAAAAACGAGTTAAAGTAGGTTTAAGTACTACACTTGCCTCCGAGTCTCTCTGCCAATTTTTGTGGCTTTATAATCAGATTATCCTATTTCCCCCCGCAGTTTTTCCTCTCCTTAGCACCATGTTAAAGACCCATATAAGCAACAGGGGAAATTGACAAACTACATAAGGCAGATTGAGCATAGTCAATTTCACTAAGTGCTATGAAATGCAAAATTGAAAAAAATAGAGAAAAATATTTTCCGTCATCTCTCTGCTATAGTAATCTAAGCAGAGTCTGTTGTTACTTGTGACTATACCACAGAAAGGGTTTCAAATAGATGTGATTTTTAAGTTGAAGGTGTCCCTTCAATTTAGCCTCACACAATGTAATCTTCATTTTAGAGATGAGGGAACTGAGAGACACAGGTTAAGATACTTGTTCAGGATCAAGAAGTTTGGGGCAGAGCTAGAGGCAGAACTCAATTTGTCCCAAGTATCACTTGACCACAAGACTCTCCTCTATATTCGTAAAGCTTTCTATGCTCCCTACTAGTCCACCCGGGGAGAAAGGATACAAAAGCCTGTTCAAGAGGTATTCAGGTTGGGTAACACTACGGAGGAAATGCATGGAGAGATTCTGAGTATACTTCCCCCCTCCACTAGCAGCTTCTTGTATCTGCTAAAGGGGGAATTATGTGAAAAAAGGGTCTGGCCAGCTGAAGGAGCGACAGAGTTGAGAAGTAGCCACAGACAGCATGCTGCCATCCAAAATTTGTGTAACTTATGATAGTAAAAGCAGCACAAGTTAGTGTTCTTCGTCAAGCACATTAACCTAATCAAGTGGAGTGTGGGTAACGGCACAGATGGCTGCAGAGAACAAATGGCAACAAGAGTGTTGTGATGGGGAGGGACACATAGCTACCAATGGTGACCGATTCCCTTGCTCCTGTGTGTGTGTTCTGTTGGCCATGCTTCCTAGTAGTTCCTCAGCACTGGTGGCCTTGCCTCTTTAGCGGTGAATTTGAGAAGAGAAGCTTTACCTTTTTTAATGTATGTTCTTTCACTTCATTTGATTTTGACATGGGAGAGAGACAGGGAGCCATACTCTTATAGGCATTTAACCAGAATTATATTTCAAATGTACTATGGATTAGCTACTCCCACTGAAATAGCTTCTGCTGTTCACGGAGGTGGTTTTATTACGCCATCGGCATACAGCACCTACACCAGATGCGCTGCATGGTACGGTTGCAGCGCGGTACATATAGATATGCCTTTAAGTGCATTGAAAAGAAGTATGATCCTGAATAAAAACACATGCCAGTTAGTAATACCTGGTTTTTCTCTAGCTGTTTTCCAGTAGCTGCTTGATCTTTCAGCTGCTCAATTGCTTTCAGTTTCTGTGAAAAACAGAAGTATGGGAGAGCCAAGAGAGGAACAGAAATTTTCAGTTTTCTGGGTTTACAGTTGATAAGCTTAACAGAGAAAGAGAAACTCTGATGGGGAGACTTAGCAATAGAAATACATCTACTTTTCATTTATATACCTAAAATCAGAATTTCACATCAACAGAATCCAAGACAACCTAACAACCTATCTTACTTTCTTCATGCATAGACCTGAGTAAGGAAACAACCATCTCTAGTACCTGAAGAGCAGGGCCGCCCGGGGGGAGGGGGCGGGGGGCGCAAGTGGGGCAATTTGCCCCAGGCCCCCAGGAGAATATAGTATTCTATAGTATTGCAATTTTTTTTTTTATGGAAGGGGCCCCCGAAATTTCTTTGTCCCAGGCACCCTGAATCCTCTGGGCGGTCCTGCTGAAGAGTTAGGAAGATTATTTCATGCATCTGAAATGTAAACACCATAAAAAATCTGACCCTAAATTAATAACAATAACAATTTAAAAGTAGGATAATTTCTTGTACAGGGAAGCTACACCTAAGATTCAGAAAGGGAACTCCTCCATTGTAAATATCCCCCTTCTCCATACATCTTTCCTCAGCATGGCTGAGCATTAATCAAAGAGATCGATATGGAAAGAGGAAGCTAACTTGACTTGGAGAGGAAAATCTCTCTGTATTATGCACTGCTGTGCAATGCAGAAATAGGAAAACTTCTCTAGCACTGGCCAAATGCAACTCTACCCTTGTTTGAAAGGATTTAAATCAAAGAGGTCTGAAGCCTGACAGAGCTACACAAGCAGTACACTTGGATCCCTTTGTAGGTTTGGGGACTGAGAAGAAAGACTGACTTCCTTTGTCCTCTAGTGACTCTCTCTCTCTCTGCACACAGTTGATAGGATCTAGAGAGATACATGTCCAATACTGCTCCATCAAAGGCAAGCTTTATACCTTCCTGGCAGTCCTGAGATATAAACACCAACCCTCTCTTCCCCCGACCTTAAGTCAGAACAGCCTTCCCAGATCCTAAATGAGACTAGGATTTGCAAAGCAAGGTTAGGAAGCTCACTTAGTTCCTTCACAAATATTGACCAGCTATACCATCTGCCCTTTTGAGGGGAGCCTTTGTCCAATACCCAGCAGTTCTTGAGAATGGAAGGTGGAAAAACTACTGCTGTTCTGAACAAGTCCCAATTTTCTTTACATGCTTAGACACAGCCCCATTTTTAAGTGGTTACTGTTGTGCTACTTTACACTATGAGAAAGCAGAGAAGAGAAGTTGCCTGAGGTGTATGCTCTATGTACGCGCTACACCTCACTGCTATTAGTCATCTCCACAATCAGACTAGCCCGTCAGGACTTTCTACAAGAGGAAACTATTCTTCATTAGAAAAATCTCTCACCTTTTTCAAATTCTTTATTTTTTTGTCTACCTCAGGGTCTCCTGATGTCACAGAAGGCAGAGCGCTGCGTGGTACATCCTGTAATGCTGGAGATGGTGTTGATTCCTGGCTCCCATCAGTTTTGGCCTCCTGCAAGTTAATACACTTCATCTACTGTTCCTGCAAACCATTTAAACAACAGCTCTGTTGTTTTATAACATGGAAACCTAGAAAAGCTGTTGAATATTTCTCCCTTTCATTAGTCCTCTGGTGCTCTCTATTGTTTGTGATAAGTTTTCAGTTATATGTTATGTTATTTGAGACAGAGCTCCTACCAGAAGATGTTAGGCATAATATTAGAGTTCTGATATACTGTGTCTTCATTCTTCCCACAGAGAGAGACGAGAAACATGCTTAATATAATGAAATTGGTAGGAATGAAACAACAAATATACATCCACAACTATTTCTTATAATAGCTAGTGGTCCATCCTCCCCACTACCAGGAAAACCAAAACCAGTTCTAATTTACTAAGCAAAAGTATTATACACTTTAGAAGGGTGTTTTAGTAATTGTGGAAACTGTAGAGATAACATCAAAAGCTGAAATCTGCCATCTAGCCATAGAACAAATACAATACAGGTAAGCTGCAAAAATACAAGCTTCTTTGCCAAAGTTTGATACTGCAGGACTAGTCAACACATTTGTAAAAGCTAATGTAATGTTACCCCAAGAGGGCTGATACTAGCCGTACCTGTTTAGCCGCTTTCTTTGCTTCGTGCTTCCTTTGATTTTTAAGTGCCATCTTAGATAATGGCTTATCACTATTTCCTGGTTGTGGTTTCATGTTCTGAGGTGGCTCCTCCTCATGCTAAGGGATACATAAGATTGACATTTCTGAAATGTATGTGCCATACTTCAAAATATCCTACAAAAGAATAAAAATTCTAGAAAAATTTTCTACATGTTAAAGTACCACAGTTTAAAAGGTGACCTGCAAAGGACAAAAAAACAGGTTTATGCCCTTTCTGCTTCTTTTGATGGTTGAAGGCAGCCTGAAAAAAGTGTCACCCCTAAAAAGATTTTCCTTTGTTTTTTACACTAGCCTTTTAGGACTTGTCTGTCCTGTTTCTCCTAGAGGCATCTATAGATGGCTGGAAAAGTACTAAAGCAAGTACTAGGTATATAAAACCTGAACAATTGAGTGGGAAGGTGATTTTTAGTCAGACTGTTTAAAACTTTGCTTTTTGTTTACACCTATTTAACTCAAATGCCTGATGTATAGTTGGAAGCAAAGCACTTTGTTAACAATTTTACAGTCCTGCCCCTCCAGTTAAGGGATAAGAAAGCTCCCACATCATTTCTTTAATCCTTCAAGCAAAAACAGGACAGACCAAATTTGATTTTGTTTTTACATCTTAAAGAAGCCAAGATAGGAAGCTTCCCCCGCCCTGCTGTTCATCTTAAGAAAACCCAAAACTTACCATTAATATACTCTGTTATTGTCTTAAAAACTAGTTTTAGCAGGTCAGACACATTAAATGCTCAAATAGATTTAAATATGTTTTCCACCCACAACTCTGATTTTTCCTCCATAAAAGCTGGCAGAATATAGTTCCCTGAATTCTTTTACAGAATGAATCTTTTCTTGCTAACTCTGCTTATGTAGCACCTGTGAAGTCAGACCCTAGTAATAACTAACTGCTGATAGCCTGTGATGAGTCTATCGCTCCTTGGAAGATAGAAGCCTCAAAATCAAAGCCTTCTAAAACAAATAAAAACAAAAACAAAAAACAGATCAAGGCTGTAATCGTTAATTACAGTTAGTATCTTCACACACAAATCTACTTCTGAAAACTGAAAAAGAAAACAAAGCAAGGCTAAATAAAGGAGTAGGTCCACATCAGGAAAACAGTTAAGCTGCAGTGGACTTGCCAATAGTATCACTGCGTCACAAATGCTCAAACTGTACTGAAGGAGGGCAAACAACCACTCAACTACTTCAGTACTTGGGCAAGCTTGGCCAAATCTGTGTTATGTCTGACTTTAGCATGTTGGTTCATGAAAACCAGCTGAACACACCACAACTGAAGTGACAGTTTACCCACCCACTCAGGCTCTTTGTTGTTCAACAGCAACAAGACGACGCAGCATTTGCAACTGTTTGTGCTGCTGGTCTAAGGGGCAGTTTTGTGCAGGAAAGAGAATTTGCCCCATAAAATTACAGCATTCCTAGCACATATTCCTGCAAACAGGGAGCAGAGGGGCAATCAGTGAAACAAGCCTGTTAAAAGGCAAATGTTTATTTCTTAAAATACAAACAAACAACCAAACAACCTCACGACTGGTGTCGTCATTCCCCAACCAGTATTTTGCAATCAAATTTCAAGTACAGATGAAATGATGGGCCAACATAATTGAGATGAAGTTTACTTACCAGCTTAGAACTGGTTATAGGCTTGTTTCTCAGAGCTGGTGGTCTATAAGCTTGGGCAACCTTCAGCTCAGCACTTGGCAGTTCACTTGGAACTGCCTGGTAAGTTACTGCTTTTGCTGGAAATGTTCCATCCAAAAATGGCTGCCAGGAAACTTGCCATATTTCTGCATTTGGTGGGACTTCACATTTGTGTAGAACAGAGCCAGTATAATGCCAGATCTTGTACCCATTACCAACTCGTAGTCTTGGAGCACACGTAGCAGTTACAAAATGTTCCCCATCAGGGCACCAAGCAAAATATGTAGAATCTGATGCCAGTGGCTTGGAAATAAGTTTGTAGTTTTTTACATCCCATACTTCCATCTGTCCTCTGAGATTTCCAAATCCTGCTAGTACTAAGATATGTCCAGGAGAGCTGTAGTAGGCAGCATTACGAGGGCCAGTTCCAAAATCAAACAAAGGGTCACATTTCAGATTGAAAACAGTTGCCTTCGCAGGCATAAAACCATACACAGCACAAAACTCTGTGGAATTGGGATTCCATACTACATCATAAATGGGACCATTTTTTGCTAAAGAAAAAAAAATATAACTAAGATTATGAAATCATATCATTTACATGTGTCTAGATAAAAAACAAAAAACATGATTACAAAGCTTTCCTGAAATTGAATCATTCGCAATTCTAGAAAAACTAATTTTTGGTAACTTGTTTTGGTGTTGGTAGAAATTAATATTGCAAACCAATGTCTTATGCTCAGTTTTATTTAGAGATTGCACCACATAACCCTCCACCAACTCTGAGTTACCTCTCCTTCTCTGGTCAGCATCACCACTTCTATAGTAAGAATAGTTTTTTTGTGTGGAAAAATCCCATTTTTGTCTCAATATTCAAGTATGATAAATCAGAACCTTCCAAAACTAGTAGCAATGGCCCACTAGAAACCTACAAATATCCTCTTTCACAGTTGTACAAAGCTCCTGTTTCTATGCCTATGTAGTTGTGAAATATTGGACTTTAATTTGTCACTGGACTAGGAATAAGTATTGCTCAACCTGAACCTCTTACCAGTGACATATTCTTTTAATGGAGTAAGTGGGCGTGCCATCTTGTTCAGGACACCCAAAACTGTGAGCCACTGTGTTACTCTTCTGCCTTAGCAAGAGGAGACACACCTTAAACCACAATATCAGTGAATATCCCTAATTCCTCATATAGTGGTAATACATATATTTCACAGTGATATTAATCACCAGTGTATCACCAGCTTTCATAGAAGACCTTACTTGATACTTTTACAATACAGTAATACCATACACTATCAGTTGATGTAATTGCTTATTCTTTGGGGTTCAGACCCCTTCTTCTCCCCTATGGGTGTCTGGACCCTGATAATCACAAGGGAAGAACAGAAAACATTTTTGTGGCATATTTATTTAAAAATGGGGGCTGTCTGAAGCTGCTCAGGCACTTGGAACAATAGACTAAGTTATGGGGAGATGGATTAGTGGCCAGAGTGCAAGTGAGGTGCTCAGTGATGAATGAAAAATGTGATTCATTACATAGTTGTAAAAATTATCACATGGTTATCACTGCCAAGTGGTGTATATAGACATCTTTACTTATGTCTTGTACAACGTCAACTGCATTTCTAGTGCTTAAAGTAATGACTCTTAAAATAAAATGTTGACCCAGTATATCTAAAGAGCTTCAACCACTGATTCCTGTAGCTATTTTTTTTTTTTGGCACGCACACTAGAAATAGTTATTGCAGTTGCAGTAACCCATTTTATAAACAAAGCGAGTCATACTTCATTTTTCCCTCCAAAGAGAATACCCACATTAGGGATTATTAACTACAAAGTTTCATTTAAAAAAAAAATATTTGAAATAAGGGGGTACATTAAGGCATCTGAAATGTAAATGTCAGTTGGCAAAGAGGGTATTAAGAGACACAGGCACAAGCCCTAACTGGAATGGTGAAATTGACAAGAAAGGATGGTAGGTTCCCTGCTGATTCACCCTGCTGTCACCCCAGGTTGGGGGCTCCTTCTGGGTGCAGAGCTCCCTCCTGGGAACGGGCAGCTGGGGAGGGGGGCAACTGGGTTTGCAGTGGGGAGCTATGCATAGACCTGAGAGCCTAAGATCTCAGCCCCCCTCACTGCCTCTCTTAAATTGGTGGAAGTTGCTCCTGGTTGCTGTAAGCTGCTGTAAATTGACCTAACATAGTTCGACTTAAGTTTGTAGTGTAGACAGGCCTTCAGGCTCCCAACACTCTTGACTCACAAGAGTCTTTAACAGTGCAAAACAAGCCTAACCACAGTTAAGGAAAGAAAGGGAAGAACACCATTACAGAGGAAATTTTAGGTATACAGATTAGAGGTTTTGGTATTGAACCAGGGCACTGGGATTAAACACCCCTATTTGTACAAAAAAAGTGTCAGTTTTAAATCTCTCAGTATTGCCAACTCTCATGATCTTGTCATGAGTCTCATGATAATTATTGTTTTCCTTAAAGCCCCAGCTCCTGGGGACAAGTGGATATGTGATGATTTCAGCCTTCATTCTTAAAGAAAAAGTAAGTTTCTAGCCCCCATGGCTGTGGAGAAAGCTTCAAAATGTGACTCCAATGCACTCTAAAGGCTCAAAAAGCAGAAGGCAAATAAAAAGAACACCAAATCTATAATTTTTACATAATCTCATTATTTTTGGTGAGCCTGACTCATGATTTTTGAACTTTTGGGGCTGGCAATACTGTCCCATCCAAAAGTTTTAGTGATTTTTTCCTCCAAAATAGTAAACCCTTTTGTTTTTCAATGCGTCTTTTCACTTAACATAGGGGATATGATTAGTTTGTATGTGTGCCTTTGTGGGTGGCGGGGCAACTTATTATGGAATGTCCTCGAAAAGAGGCAGGGATTCCTCATATGGGATGCTTTCATGCTTTGATTGAACTTCAGGATAGCAAATCATATGCCACCAAGCATGATGCAATTTAGCAGTTTTTCAAGTGTCAAGGACTGGTAGTGGAATTTTAAGTGTTTTTATTTTGAATAGTCCATCACTATTATTAAACAGAAAGGGGAGATGTCATAGAAACTCTACCATGTAAGGTAACAAAATTCACTACCTTAATAGCTGTTTAGTGCAGAAACATATTTGAATGACAAACAGTAGTTCACAGTTTTCACCGAAACTGTAAGATATTTAGCATACATTAAGAACAATTCCCATTAACATATGACATAACACTATGTAAATGTCCAAAAGCCACTTACGTAGTTGTACAACAGCACTTTCTCCATTTGTTGCAATGTAGTGCAGGGTTTGTTCTCCATAATATGAAGCTCCCGTTTTATCAACTTCTGTACTAGCTATTACTAGCACAGCCGTAGCTATTAGGGTACAAAACATAATAAGATTCTTTTAAACATGCAAACCACCTAGTAATCCTGAGACTCTACATTTTAGTCTCCACTAACAGAAACTACCATATACACAGAGGAAGAATTTTAAGTTTGGCCAGTTGTGAAATCTATAATTAAGATTATATTGACACTTTCTTTATAGATGCTTTATCACATGCTCAGAACTTTCTATCATCTTCTCCTTTTCAATTAAAATTTTCCTTTCTTGATTTTTAAGCCAAAGATGATATTTTTTCATTTAAAGAGGATGGAGCAAGTGTGAGCAAAACCCATTCACTCATTTTGAACTATTTAAAGGTAAGGTTTTTTTTTAAGTGGTGTAAAGAGAATTTTTATACATGCATAACACTAACACTAACTATATTAAGCTTTCCACCTGACCAAGACTAACTAAACTAGCATCCAGGCCAGTTTACCAATAAAACAAAACAATTTTGCATATTAGTAGCTTTTGTATGTATATCTATTTTACTTACGCACACATAAATAAGCAAATACACATGTATATAATATAAACATTGCCTTCTGTTCACATGTATATGTAATAATTGGTGGTTAGTATAAAAGTTTTACCAACATGACTTTGAAATGACCATCATTATTCATGAGTGGTAAAGCACAAAGTGAACTATGCAGCTCATCTCAAATGTGATGTGTTTTTATGTAATTACATTTTGAAGTGTCTAAACACAGTGGAATTGTATACATTACACAAGAAGGCACACACAATACATATTATGTATAAGATGAATTTTCCACATTATTAGGCGGTATCTGTGTTCATGGGACTAGAAGTATGTATTAATAAAGTTTCGTTAGTTATGTGAATGTGTGTCTGTGCTGTTTCAGTCTGTTCTCTAGTTTTCTAGATTTTTGACTACACAAATGAGAGTGTACAGAATGTAGTGTTTTAATCCCACTTTATAAAATGTATTGAAATTATAGATAAACATATGCTCCATGTATACACTAAAAAGTAAAGAAATGCATGTTCAGATTCCTGTAGTAACTTGAATTTGCTCACGTTACACAGATATGGAATATTTCCGATTATTAGTTATTATATTAAATATACAACTGAATACAATGGACCAGCTTCTACTCTCAGATATTCACAGATGATTCCAACTGACTTCAATGGGAGTTGTGTGGACATAGGTAGGGCAAAATTAGGTCAAAGAGTATGTGGAATGGTGCTTACCACACATCTTATGTAGCAATGCAACTGTATGTGGCATTTTACAAAAGAAGGTAAGGCATGTTCCTTGTCTCAAAGAGATTACAGTCTAAAGAACACATGACACCAGTTCAGGTACAGAAAGGATGATGAAGCAGGATTTCTGGATGAAATGGCTTTTAAAGGACGTGAAAAAAGGAGAAAGTATTTTCTGTGTCAACAAGAATTAGGACATGGTGTGGTGGGATTTCCTTTGGAGGCTGGAGTTTAACTATAACAGATTTTCTAGTCCTACATAGATATACAGGGCAGCATGAAAGAGCATGCAAAGATGAGAATGGAAGAAGAAATTATAGTGTTCAGGCAAAAGAAAGGTATGCAAGGAGTTGAGGGAGCAAGATGATTAGGAGGAAATGAGAGCAGATACAGATGGGGGACGAGATCATGAAGGGCAATGTGGGCAATTTATGAGAACTTTATTGTTTAAAATTAGAACATTAATGTTGCATTAACACAAGTTTTTTGTCTTTGCATTTGACGAATACAAAAACAACAGTAAGCAAAATAACCAAATCTTGAGGTTAGTGAATAAAATATAAGAGATTAAATTAAATAGCTGCTGTACCTTTGTTATTCCAGAGCATTGTTGCCTTGTCAGCTTTAAAGAAACTTTTATTGGCCAATGCAGACTGAGGGCCACCAAAGTTAGGGTATTGATACAACCTTACAAACGAGGGTGCACCCTTGCTTCCAGGAACATAAACAGAAACCTAAATCAACACCATTATATTAAATTAGTGATACATTGTTCTTAGTAGCACAAAGACAGAGAAATACAATGATTTCTAAAGGAATTAAAGAAAACCAAAATATATGAATTGTGAATAAACATTATAGGTACCTTGCTTGGCTGTGGTCCTGGTGATAACACAAAATCATTAACTTTTTGCAAATGAAGTTTATTTGCAATAGTATCTGCAAAATCACAATTACGGTCAGGTTAATGACAAAACACTGTTAACTCACACTACTTAATGTATTTTTATATTATACCATTTTATGAGCGTACCCCATTGATAATACACAAGGAACGATGTACTTAACCATAAAAAGATTCTTTACTTGGCAAAAGCAGCATGATAACCATCTTTGATTATGTATTCTCTCAGACTTGAAGTTTTGGCTAGATTTATTTCTCTTTATGATCACAGGTATGACAATTATAGAGTGTGAAATGTCTCCATCAAACTTTGAACCCACTTGAACGAGCCTTGGGTTTAAAACATTCTACAAACCTTGGAGAAGTTCACACAGCAAGAAAGTCTTTGAACCCACATGAACATACTTCATGTTCTACAATCAAAGCAAGTGGCAGAGCCCCCCACCTTAACTAGGCTGTCTTCAGAGGAAGTGCGGCCACTTCCCACACATCCTGCTCCACTCTGTACAGGCTCCCCTCCTTGGATCTTTGTGTATGGGACACAGGTGATTGCTCCCCACAGCAGGCTCTCTGAAAGGCCTGCTGTGAATTGATCACTCCCCTATACATAGGAGTTTTCTTTGGAAGTGAATCCTGCACTCGGTGCCAGTTCCCGCACAATACGGCAGTGGGAAAACAGTCTCATTTGAGCAGCTATCAGAATGAGCTTAGTGGCAGAAGTGACAAATGACCCCAACACCTTAGTAGATACACCTCATATTTCCCTACCAAATGATAGGGGAGTTCCTTAGCTACCACACTACAGATTATGGAGAGCTTCTGCCCAAGCTAGGTCTGGAAGCCATTGCCTTGTTCCTGCTACTATAGCTTTTGGGAGGGATGAGGTGGCACCTAACATCCCTTTGACCACCCTGACTGATTTGTGGGGTGAGTGGATTGCCAATACCATAAAACCTCTGTGTGTGGGGAGGGGGGAAGGAGTATAGAGGAGAGAGAAAGGAACACCTGGCACCCTCCTTAGGGAGTGGCCAATAGGCAGCACAGTAGGAGAAGTGGCTGTGCTATCATGGAATTCTCTCTTGGCAGCTGAGGCTTAATTAATGTAGGTTTTCTAGCCCTCTCAAACAAACTTCAAGATTCAGTTCATGAACCACCATTGCTATGTAAACCCAGCAGGATTTACACAGACTAATAATGATCAATGTTAAATAAAAAGCTTAAAGGGTGTCTGCTCTCATAGCAGTCTCATCTCTCCATCTACAACAGATCAGAAATGGGAAAGAATAAGAGCACCATGTAGGAAACCCCACCTGACGAGAATCCAGATTTTTCCCAGCATAACCCCTGAACACCTCCCCTTTGATAAGCATTATGAAGGTTTCTTCCACCTGGGAAGAATGGTGAAAAGCCTCCTCCCAGAACAACACCTATGTTATTCTGTAAACCAGTCACCAAATTATAGGGGAGGGACTTTCACCCTAATCTTCCTCCTCCAACAAGCATGGAGCCAGAGACATCCCATGTCGCTATATCTCCAAGTTCCACTAGTTTCAGAAGAAACTGCCCCCGAATCCTAAAGCCATGTCTCCCGTAAGGCAGTGTGATACATCATTAGCCCCCAAACAACTTTTGTGTCATCTACGTTTTTTCTTTTTCTCTGAATTCCTCCTTTCTACTTTCACTGTTCTCTTTTTGTCTCTTTCCCTGGAGTTCCTTTTGTTCTCTTCCATTTTCAACAATCTCCAAACTCTCCTGGGTTCCTTCCCTCTGCCTCAGCTTGTTCTCTTTACTTCCCAAACACCTTTGGTTAATGCTGAACTACTCTGGAAAATATCCTGGCTCCATAGTAATGGTGTTGCCATAAGCATCAATCTTCTCGTGGCTCTTTGGAAACCAAAAGAGATAAGCTCAGCACAACCCACAGAAGAAATCATGGGTCAAATTCTATACTGACACACATCCTTTGAACTTCACTGGCCATAGATCAATGCAGAATTGGCCCTCTGTATCTAAAATGGGGAACGATCTCACATTACAGAGGGGCAGTTGAGAAGTAGAAAACAAAAAATGTCAATGTGCTGAAAATATGCTAGGACTTCATAAGACCTTATTTATTCTGGGTACAAAATAAAAGAGGATTTAAGCAAGATTTCAGATAAAGCCAACAACATGAAAAAAATCAGAAAAATGCGGAAAGGGTGAAGATAGGCAAAAGAGAGACATATCTAGAATGCAATGAAGCCAAAGCTTAGAAATGTTTGCATACCAAAGTTGTTGTTTTCAAAGAAGTGCACTTCATTATTTACAATCCTAGCAGATATACTTTCGTCGTCTGCCCAGCAAGGACACCTAAGATTAAAAAAAAAAAAAGACAATATAAAAACTGAAGTAGGCAACATTTACTATCACAATATTTAAAAACTACATTTCATAACTTAAGTTTAGACCAATGCTCACAAAGAGATTCAACAATACAAGTTTATATGAGGTTAGTGGTAAAAATATCATACAACCAGTTACTAATGGTACTATTTCCCCCCAGTTGTACAAAATGGTAGTGGATTTACTATGTTACAAACTGACTACACATGTGTACAAAGATACTAGTATAGATACTTTCGGTTTGTAACAGAAAGTATTTTGAGAACCAACACAATATTAAAATCATACTTTCAAAATTAGGTTTTGAAAACTACATTTCTCTGCAGATAATTAATACTTGAAAATATTATTTACCAATTCTGCATCTTTTTCTGGATGAAAGACTTTAAACACTTCCCAGTTTTTACATCATAAAGTTGTAGGTTGGGCATGCCTGCTGCGCCATCTTTAGCAGCTGTAATAAAAAACATAGGTTTGCAGTCGTGGCCCCAGGAATAAGGTTAGGTTTGCTTCACTCACCATCCTATTCCACCCCAACAATGGCCTTTCCTAATCCTGCAAAGGGCTGGACACCCTTATGAATGTGCAAGCACTTTGCAAGATCAAGTCCTAAATTTGGCAGATTCTGACAGTATAAGGTTTTCACCTACTCCTTCATTGGACCAGCTGCTTATTTTGTGCAATCACATATCTACTTTCTCTTTAAATATGGTAGCTATGCTCCTCCAGTTTACTGGATTTACCTTGCACTAGTGAAGCATCCAGCATTCTTCAATGCTGTGATCCTCCTGCCTAACAAGAATTTTAGTTACAAGCTGGGGACGCATCGGTTGGAAGTAACGGAGGAGGAGAAAGACCTCGGAGTCCTGGTAGACCACAGGATGACTATGAGTCGACAACGTGATGTGGCAGTGAAAAAAGCCAATGCGGTCTTGGGATGCATTAGGCGAGGTATATCTAGTAGGGATAAGAAGGTGCTGCTTCCATTGTACAAGGCACTGGTGAGACCTCATTTGGAGTACTGTGTGCAGTTCTGGTCTCCCATGTTTAAAAAAGATGAACTCAAACTGGAACGGGTACAGAGAAGGGCCACTAGGATGATCAGAGGAATGGAAAACCTGTCGTATGAAAGGAGACTCGAGGAGCTTGGGTTGTTTAGCCTAACCAAAAGAAGGCTGAGGGGGGATATGATTGCTCTCTTTAAATATATCAGAGGACTAAATACCAGGGAGGGAGAGGAATTATTTCAGCTCAGTACTAATGTGGACACGAGAAAGAATGGATATAAACTGGCCGTGGGGAAGTTTAGGCTTGAAATTAGATGAAGGTTTCTAACCGTCAGAGGGGTGAAATATTGGAACAGCCTTCCGAGGGAAACGGTGGGGGCGAAGGACCTGTCTGGCTTTAAGATTAAGCTAGATAAGTTTATGGAGGGAATGGTTTAATGGGCTAACATGATTTTAGTCAAATGAACAGCGCTGGTAAATAGTATCAATGGCCAATGAGGGTCTGGCTGGAGAATCTTGCCTACATGCTCGGGGTTCTACTGATCGCCATATTTGGGGTCGGGAAGGAATTTTCCTCCAGGGTAGATTGGCAGAGGCTCTGGAGGTTTTTCGCCTTCCTCCGCAGCACGGGGCAGGGGTCGCTAGCTGGAGGATTCTTTGCTACTTGAAGTCTCTAAACCACAGGATTTGGGGACTTCAACAGCAGAGTCAAGGGAAAGGGGTTGGGACAGCTTTGTGGCCTGCATCATGCGGGAGGTTAGACTAGATGATCATAATGGTCCCTTCTGACCTTAAAGGGTATGAGTCTATGTAGTTAATTATCCAAGTTCATGTTTTGTTATATGCTAAGATGTTCAAGTGACTATGTCACTTCCTTTCAATTTATCAGCAAACCAGGAGTTAGATTTACTGAATGAATTAATTTTTTATTGTATTAGCCATCTGCAACATTAAAAAGTATTTACTGCAGAGATGACTTTCTGTTATCAGCAACGGTTCCTGATTCTTCCTCCTAATTTCCAGTTTCTAAACTATTTTTCCATGGCTTCATTCTGCGGTTCCTTTAGCTTCCTAGGATGCCATGAGCCACATTAACTGTCTCCCCCACCATAGCCTCTAGCAGGTTTTCCCACAGAAGGTAGCTCATCAATCGTAAAAGAAGAAGATGATTTTTTTTTATATCTAAAATTGTTACCATAGTAGTAAATGATTTGACCATTAATACTACTACTTTACACTTGAATTGCACTTTACCTATTAACAGTGCAACTCAAACACTAACCAAATTAATTTTCATATCCAGGCGGTAGCGAGGTGCTACTATTAAAATACAGTACTACTCTACAGACTAAATAGCCTCTACTTACTAATCAGATCACCTCCCTGTGTGCATTCAGACTCCCATCCACGGACTTGAGTAACTAAAGTAACTTTTCACTCCTGTTAGCCCTGCAGAGCCAATATAGCTGAGAAAAAATGAAGGGGAGCGCATTGCAGCTCACACATCAACAGAACAGATAACTGGGTTCCAGTCAATTAACCACATTGGCAGAATAGGTGCATAGGTGACACTTAGGGCATAATCTGAAGACTATTTGGGTGCATAAGTGTAATTAAGGAACTAATTTGGATTGCACAATCTTTATGTGCAAAAAAGCATGAATCCAGCATGACTCTCAGAGTTCAGTTTTCCAGACTAGTTTTGGTGGTTAGGTTCCCCCCCAACCATGTCTGATATGGAAATCATTATGGGTCAATAAACATGAACCCTCACAATGCCATTTTTAAAGAGTCCATTTTCAGAGTAGAGTCAGGTTTAAGCGACTTCCCTAAGGCAATACAGGAAGTCAACAGGAAAGCCCAAACTGACTAGAACTCTGAAGTTCCTGGTTTCTCCTCCCTACACTATGAGACAAGGGCACAGGAATAGAGTCACTAACCCTAGGAAAGGTTGGGTTTTTTTATAAAAAAGAGCTCAGAAAATCTACCATGTGGGCAAACAACTGAAAGTAAATGTTCCAAGTCCTCTAAGATTTGTTCCCACATGACCACATCCACCCCCATCATCCATCACCTTTGCTTTCACTCACTATCTATAATACACCTATTGACCTGGCTATTCACAACAGTCTTTTAACCTTGGCCTTACTGTTCCCTCCCTGTGACTCTCCACAGTTGGGACCCACTCTGATTTGTTCTGCCCCCTAGAACCTCACCAAGCCACTCTTTAAACTCCCATGTTAAAGTCTCAGTTTCTCTTTAGCTTATGATGAACTCTTTCCATAAAGTATCTTATTTGCATGGTTATAAGCTGGTTTGAACTGTATTCTAGTATGTCCACACATATTCTGGGAGGCATGGATCAGCGCTCACGTCTTACTCCCAGTCAGTACCTGGCCGGGAAACCTAATGACTCAACCAGCGGACCAAATTCAGTGATGAATCCTAGTCATGTGCCACCTGATGCACTTTGCACATACACTAAGATGACACATATTCTCCATGTAGTATTCAGTAATTTTTTTAAAACAGCATTTGCTCAGTAGATCAGACCACTATTCCAGTGGCCCATACCTGATGCTTCAGTAGGCATCTTTCCTCTTGACCATGCACCTGTACATGGAGGAAACAGTCTTTCCCTCCACGACGTCTATGGCAAATTGTTATACAAATCAAAGCAAATCAAGTAATGGCAAGTCTTCATGTTGAATTGAGTTGGTGCATAATTCTCTCATGTATTTTTACAGATGGTAAAATACTCACTTGTGTAGGCCTGCCACGTTGCCAGGACATTATTCTTTGGCGAGAATTCAAGGCAAACTGCCTTTGGGAGATCAAAAGAGTGCAGTAATTCAGTGCTGGCAACTTTCACAATATTTACTCTGGAACCAAGAGAGGTCATTTCAACAAAGCTTGATTAGCCTGGTTAATCAATAGCCAATGTCATTTCACATATGTTTGGCTGTTCTAGATGCCTTCCACATTTGGCTGATGTAACTAAATGCAGGAGGGTTTTTTCCTTTCGTTAAATGTTGATTAAAACACATTTTAAGACCACATATCCAATCATACCAAAAAGTAAATTAGTAAGTAAAAATCTCAGGTCAAAAACATGTTACATACTTGGGCTGCAAAAAATTACATTCCAGCTAAAAAAAAAAACTGCCACAAAAAACCTCTTACCTATGTTTCTGTAACGTTAAAGTTGAGTTACAGATAGACAATAGCAAGGAAGAATAGAGTTAAATCTGTAAGATACTGCATTTAATTTTTTTTGTCCAGCGAATATGTACATCACAGTAAAAAAATAACTATAACAAGGTGAAATAACAGCCCTGACACTTTACGTTTGTGGAAACTAAAGGTTGATGGTGACCTGTGTCATAACTATAAAGGGAAGGGTAACAGCCCTCCTGTGTACAATATTATAAAATCCCTCCTGGCCAGAGACTCCAAAATCCTTTTACCTGTAAAGGGTTAAGAAGCTCAGGTAACCTGGCTGACATCTGACCCAAAGGACCAATAAAGGGACAAGATACTTTCAAATCTTGGTGGGGGGGAGGCTTTTGTTTGTGCTCTTTGTTTTGGGGGTTGTTCGCTCTTGGGACTGAGAGGGACCAGACATCAATCCAGGCTCTCCAAATCTTTCTGAACATGTCTCTCATATTTCAAACTTGTAAGTAAACAGCCAGGCAAGGCGTGTTAGTTTTTATCTTTGTTTTCTCAACTTGTAAATGTACCTTTTTGCTAGTGTTTATCTCTGTTTGCTGTAACTTTGAACCTAAGGCTAGAGGGGATTTCTGTGGGCTCTTTAAGTTTGATTACCCTGTAAAGTTATTTTCCCTCCTGATTTTACAGAGATGATTTTTACCTTTTTCTTTAATTAAAAGCCTTCTTTTTAAGAACCTGATTGATTTTTCCTTGTTTTTAGATCCAAGGGAGTTGGATCTTGATCCACCAGGGAATTGGTGGGAGAAAGGAGGGGGATGGTTAATTTCTCCTTGTTTTAAGATCCAAGGGGTTTGGATCTGTATTCACCAGGGAATTGGTGAAGAATCTCTCAAGGCTACCCAGGGAAGGGAATTAGCATTTGGGAGTGGTGGCAGCGGACCAGATCTAAGCTGGTAGTTAAGCTTAGAAGTTTTCATGCAGGCCCCCACATTTGTACCCTAAAGTTCAGAGTGGGGAAGCAGCCTTGACAACCTGCATCATGTGGAATCCAAAGAACAATATACTAATAGAATCACACCCTATCCAACCCACTGCTAGACTCCAGTGACTGGAGTAGGACCTTGCTCCCACTGGTTACATTAACTGCCCACTTCCCAGTGACAGGACCTTTCCAGCTGTCTGAAACAAAATTCATAGCACAGTGGTGAAAAACCTCAACATTTTGAGGAACAAAACTGAGCAGAGAACAAAACATTCATTAGCATTAACAGACATTTTGTATTCTCCACTAGCCAGGTAATGAGTAAACAGAGCATTAAGAATCTTAAAACCTCAAAACAGGTTCTTATCTCCTCTTTCCAATCACTATCAATAGACCATTATTGCAGAAAGGAATGTTTCTGAGGCATGATTCTTCATAGGAGGGCCTAAATCTGTGTAGTCTATAAATAAGGGAGCCTGATCCTGTAAGGAGCTCAGAATCCTTATTTTCCACTGATTTCACTGGGAACTTAGGGAATTCAGTACCTAACAGCATCTGGCCTAAAGTGCCAACTTCTTTTTAAACTACCTTGTATTGTACTGAAAATTCCACATTTGGTGGACAATCAAATAGTTCCAAGCATTCTGAGCACCCAGAATATTTTCAAAATAGTAAGACCATATACAATTATTTCCTTCTCTTGTTTTTAAAGAATTTAGCCTAGAAATCATGCTGCAACCCTATTATGTTGAAGGTCCTGGGATGAGTCCCAGAACTGGGAATTGCATATTTTTTTAACTGGGCAATGTGAACAGAAACGATATCACCCCCTAATAAAAGGGCATCCAGATTCCATGGTGCCCTATACATGTATGAAATCAATAATAAATAATTCATATACTAATTTAAAACAAAACCTACCACTACAACTGGAGTACAAAAAGTGCCTTTATAATGTTTTCATTGATACCATTTATGCACATTCTACAATACACCTCTACCCCGATATAACACGAATTTGGATATAACGCGGTAAAGCAGTGCTCCGGGGGGGCGGGGCTGCACACGCCAGCAGATCAAAGCAAGTTTGATATAACACAGTTTCACCTATAACGCAGTAAGATTTTTTGGCTCCCGAGGACAACGTTATATCAGGGTAGAGGTGTGTATATGTATATATCCAGATCTCATAATATCAATTAAAGGAAATCATTCATAATAAAAGAAGCACTGACTTTTCTCCATTGCACCATGCAAAGAGAGTACCATCCTTACTGAAAGCAAAAACTTTGCAGTTTTTCCCGAAGTCCCTAAAAAAACATAACAAATACACATGAACAGTCAAATATATCACACAAAAGAGGTTTCTCATAAAACAAGATGAAAAGCAATGTTACAACCAGTTTCCACGCTGCTCATAGAAATTACTGGGGAGTATTTATGTTATAATTGAGATAACAGAATCTGTCTGTGTAATTATACTTACATGCTCTGGTGGGGCAATAGTCAACTACCAAATACAAATATTATTGGGGTGTATACAAATGTAAAGCCCTCAAATACACCAATTTTCTAAGTTATTAACTTAGATTAAAATTAATTCATTATCAGATATTGGCACTCACTTTATGATTTTTTATTCCAAATGAAAACTAGATGTATATTAAATATTTTAAAAAACTGTTTTATTTTCTGCAGAAGATGCAATATTTAGAACAAAAGTACCTTTGCAATGTTGTATTCTCAGTAAAACTAGGTGGTCCAGTCACCATGTAGAATCCTTCAGATCCTCGCACTAGAAAAGAAAAAAGTTAAATAAACTATTGTTCACTTTAAATTGGAAAAAGGTCTGGAGCTAGCTAACTTATCAATGTTGAGGCTGATATTCCTTTTTTATGGATCTTAGAGTAGTAGCCAAAATGAGGATTATATTGGAAACTTAATATTGTAAAACTATTCTATGTCAAATGGTTTTCTTTTGATTATATAACAAAGCTTGACAACAAAATCTATTTGCTTATTGTAGCGGGGTGGCTACCCGCTCCAGCCCTGACAGGGTTAAAACTAGCCCAGGGAGAGGGCTGGAGGGCTGGGAGAACAGCCCAGGCTGAGTGGGAAGCAGGCTCAGCAGGGGCCACGCCCCAATCAGGGCCCAGCTGGCCCTATAAAGGCTTGAGCCTGGAGCTCAAGAAGTCACTCTCTCTCTGCATTCAGAGAGAGAAGGGCCTGGCTGCAGGGAGCTAGAGACAGGGTACCTGAGTGGCGCAGGGCTGGAGAAAGGCTGGGGAGCTCCAGCCTGGAAAGCCCCAGGGTGCGGCCTACCATAAGGCCAACAGGTATTGGGGGTTGCAGAGGGCAGCCCAGGGGTAGGCAAAGGCAGCAGGTCCAAACCCAACCTTGCCAATGATGAGTAGGCTGATACTGCAGTTTACCCCAGGGCGTGGGGGCTAGACGATGACTGGCAGTAGCCTTATACTGAGGCGAGGTGGGGATAGTGGGTGGGGGTTTCCCAGGGAGGGGAGACGTGAGAGAAAGGGGTTACTGCCAGGGGGCAGCACCCCAGCTAACAGGACACCGGAGTCCAGGGAGGGACACGGGGGGCCAAGTGGTAGTGGATCACTGGCCTGCAGAAGGCGCTCCGGGCTGAAAATCAAGCTAATTCCCCAAGGACAACCAGCAGGAGGTGCCGCACTTATTAATGAAAAGATCAAGCATGCCAAAAATCTACTTCTGTACAAGAAACAGAACAAAAATGAACTGGAAACTATTCTGATCTACAAGAGAAGGGAAATGTTCTTACATGAGACCTGATCCTTCAAGGGGCTGAATGCCCTCAACTCCCATCAATCTTCCAGGAAGCACTTAACACTGGGTTCATGACTCTCAATTAACACAAGAGTATCACAATAACATACCTTTACAATGGTATTGAAAATGCTGTCCAAATATTCCACAAAGAGATGATTAAAAGACAAAATACATGAAGGGCATATGCTGAATAAAGATGGTGTCAGCAAAAAAAGTCAGGCTGACATGAGACAAGATTTGGTCCACTGTGAAATCTGAGTTTGAAAACTAAACTCAGAACAAAGCAAATATGAAATAAATATTGGTAGAAAATGGAATATGAATTCTGCAATGTGCTGTCTTGTTGCAGCTATTATAGCCTGTCAATAAAGTTGGACAGACATCCAGATTCATTCCCAAACTATCCATTAGGAAGGACTTTATAGTGAATGGAAAAAAAAAAATTCAGATTAGCTGACTTTCCAAAATCATTCCAAATTTGTTACTGAAGTCACAAAACAAATGTAAATGCATAAGCATTAGTTAAATATTGTGTTTTCATAGGATATTAAAGTTAGCAGGGGCGGCAGGTTTGTATAATTTTTGCCCAGACTGGGTCTAAGTTCACCCCCCCGCTCACCCGCCTTGTAAGCCAATATATATTTTATTAAATAATGTAAAACGTACTGGAAACAGTAAGCATTTAACAGTTTCCCTTATTGCACAATATCACTATTGTAAGAAAAAATTATTTAACTAAGAATATCAATGTTATTAATATTCTTTTAAATACGGAAACAACCAAGCACTCTTTGATCAATAACCCTCAAAAGCAAATACTTTCTAAAAATAAAACAAATATAGCTCCTTCTTTTGCGATGATAAAGAATTTGTTGCTGGGATAAAATGAAGCTACAACGCTCCGGCGCCACAAGATTACAAGGGTCAATTAAAAGTCAGAAGCAGCACTCACCTGCTTCAATATATTATATTTTGTTGTGACAAAGTGGGAATGTTATTACTGTTTTCTCTGAATACTGTATGGGTGCCTCAGTTTCCCCTGCAAGGTGCCAACTGAAGGTGTTGGAGAACAAAGAGATCAGATAGCCTCCTTGCCTGGAAAAGAGACAAAGGCCAGAGGAGGGGCTGGAGGGAGTGTCAGTTTGGAGCTGGCTGGGGAGACGGGGAGAGGCCCAGAACTTGGATCTGGGCTCCCCACCCCCCAAGATGGACCTGACTGAGGGGTCCTGTTTTCTGTACCTACAAGCTCTGTTTTAGACTGTGTTCCTACCATTTACCTGAAGCAGAATTGCAAGGGATATAATTTAGAAAAGAATTTAGATCTATACATTTAAAACTTTTAGTCTAGACTTTGCAAATTACAACTGGACTGGTCTACAATGAACAAGTACTATATAAGCTTAAAAATATAAAAAGAATAATTAAAACATACAGCACATCCAGACCTCTTCTAACTACATTCCCTTGAAAAGTTCTTTTCATCTGTTTAAACATTATTTATCTTTTGCAAATGGTTTGTCCCTTTTCAAGTATAGATTATTTCAGATAATAGACTTTATAGTCTAGCACAGTTTGCAAATTACTACAAGATCAAATCATTGCCTGAGCTATAATGTATAAAAGGTTTATCATGGCCTTCATAAAAATACCTAGAACTACACTGCACTGCAAGCTGTATCTTTGTGAACTTCCAAGTTGAAAATAATAAAAAGAATAGCAATTTTCCTCTTGTGGAGATTGAGAGAGCTAGGACAAATATTACCCCAACTCCTTTTTTAAAAAATTACTATATATTGATGATAATAATTGAATGTATTCTGAGGAAAAAATAAGAATGTTACTTAATTTTTTAATTCTAAAGGTTAAAGATTAATCAAAAAGCAAAGATATTGCCTTAGTATATTCACATGAGTTGGCTACAACAGAATGAACAAAAATGACAAGTTTTGTGTTAGAAGAACAGGAGGACTTGTGGCACCTTAGAGACTAACAAATTTATTAGAGCATAAGCTTTCGTGGACTACAGCCCACTTCTTCGGATGTTCTTCTTTTTGCGGATACAGACTAACACGGCTGCTACTCTGAAACCTTTCATTATGCAAAGTTTTGTGTTGCTTTTTAATAGGTATCAAAACAAAATTGACTATAGGTTATCTGATAAGAGGTCCAATCCTTCTAGCTCTCCATCCACCAAACCTCACTGATTTCAATGGGAGGTCCACATGCAGATGGGTCTGAAAAAAATATACACAGTAATCTCTCTCAAAAGTTGGGAATAAAAAATACTTTGTCTATGTCAGGTTCTCTCATCAAATTCTAACATAAAAAGTCAAAGCTGACCCTGTTCTAAAGGGGAAATTGATAGGAACAAAAGGAACCCAAATACATAATGTTATGAGTCCTTTACTAGATGGATTTTGTAGAATTGTCAATAATAATGAAGTCAGAAGGGGAGCCATATAATGATCTCCTACCTCTGTGCAGCCAGTGGCCTGTGCTCCCCAATGCCATGCTGGAGCCTCCACTTTTATTTGACAACATCTGCAGAATTTTAAAATATTGTGCCAGAATTTTTTATTTTTTTGCACAGAATGCCTTCGGGAGTAGATATTCAAAAAGTGATTCACAAGCCCCACACACATTACTATGCACCAATGTACATTATCAATTTGCACAATCCACTTCCTTGGCCTTACTCTCAGAAAGAGTGAAGCACCTGTGATAGGAGTGCTCCCTGTGCAACTTGACAGTGTAGAGACCACAGGCAGTAGTGAACAGTGCAAGAGACAGAGCTGACAAGGGGGAAGAAAAATTTGAACAGTTGAAATCCCCATTATATCCAAGCAGCCAGGAGCAAGAAGAGACTCCTCACTTCCAGAGGTGAGGAACAGAAGGAAAAACGCATTCCCTCCTTTCCAGTTAGCCTGGAGAGGTGGGAAAGAGAAAGACAGAAGATACGGTATTGAATGGAGTCTGAGCATACCACAAAATACAGTAAAGACAGTACTTACATGAGGCACATTTTATTTAACCATTTCAAAACACTTTACAAACAATAAATGTAGACTCTCTACATCTCAATGAGTTAGGAAAATATTGCCATTTACAGATAGAAAAATTGAGGCATAGGGAAGTTACGTGGCTTTGCTATGGTCACAAAGAGTCAGTATCAGAAATGGCAATAGAAACTAGGTTTCCTGACTCCCCTAGACAGTATTCTAATCATTAGACCAGAGGTGGCCAACCTGTGGCTCCCGAGCCACATGCGACTCTTCAGAAGTTACTATGCAGCTCCTTGCATAGGTGCTGACTCCAGGGCTGGAGCTACAGGCGCCAACTTTCCAATCTGCCGGGGGCTGCTCACCGCTCAACCCCTGGCTCTGCCCCAGGTCCTGACCCCACTCCACCCCTTCCCCCAAGGCTCCTGCCCCTTTTCCAGAGCCTGCAATGCCCTCGCTCCTCTTCCTCCCCCCCCCCAGCCTCCTGCACACTGTGAAACAGCTGATTGTGGCAAGTGGGAGGCATGGGGAGGGAGAGGGAGGAACTGATCGGTGGGGCTGCTGGCCTGCAGGAGGCACTGGGGGCGGATGCTGACTTATTACTATGACTCTTTGGCAATGTACACTGGTAAATTCTGGCTCCTTCTCAGGCTCAGGTTGGCCACCCCAGCACTAGACCATGCTGCTTTCCTCTTAAAAATGCTCTTTATAACACTAATATTTAACGTGGGGGATCCGCTGAGAAACAGTCTTGAACTAACAGAGTACCATATTCTGCATCTGCCAGTGTTCACAAATAATTTTAAGGCATAGCCTGATGTAGAAAATAGTATAGCCGTCCAGTTCTGAGGTAACAATAAATGGATCACTGGGCAGGTCTACGTCCAAAAGCAAAGATCAAAATGTTCTGGCTAAGAATTCATTATGAAACGCCATCCTAGCCATTGCAGCTTGCTGGTCAATAAGCAGCAGCAGTGAGTCCAACAGAACCCCAAGGTTACAAACCTGATTAACAAGCACTTATCAAGCTCCTTCAACTGAAGGAACAACTATCATTATCATCAATTCCTCCAGCAGAGTAGTCTAGGGTTACCATATTTTAATAAAAAAAATAAATAAAAAAAAGGAGGACGCTCCACAGGGCCCCGCCCCAACTCCGCCCCCAGCCCCACCCAACTCCGCCCTTTCCCTAAAGTCCCCGCCCCAACTCCGCCCCCTCCCCTGCTTCCTACGAATCAAATGTTCGCGGGAAGCCTGAAACAGGGAGGCAGCAGGTAAGCTGAGGCTGGGACGGTGGCGAGGAGGCGTGGCCCAGTCCGGCCCCCCCGGCCGAGCGGCTCCCTCCGGCGGCCGGCTGGCCCCGGCCAAGAGGCTCTGGCCCCGGCGTTTCCAGCCTGGCTCGGGCCCTGGGGCACTAGCCCTAGTTCTGGCCGAGCGCGCCAACCCCGGCCAAGCACCCCCAGCCCTAGTGATTCCAGCTCGGGCCCTGGGGCACCGGCCCTGGCTGATCAGCTCCGGCCGGCGGCCGAGTACCCCCAGCCCCGGTCCCAGCATCCCCAGCCCAGCGGCTTGGCCCCAGCAGCTCCGGCTCCAGCCCAGACCCAAGGCCCCTCCCTATTTTCCCAGACATGTCCGGCTTTTTAGCAATTCCCCCCGGACGGGGATTTGAGGACCAAAAAGCTGGACATGTCTGGGAAAATCCAGACGTATGGTAACCCTAGAGTAGTCCACTCCACCAGCATAATCTCAGTTTTAGCAGAGAATGAAATGCAGATACAGAGCTGGCTGTCATCCCAATACTGGAGACACCACAACACATACCTCCTTACTATTTCCCCTAGCAGCCTCACATATATATTGAAAATGAGGGCAACACACTGGAATGCTCTAGCACGCCATACATGAAGGCCTGGAGACAGATAATGAATCACCCAGTATTACGCTCTGTATCCTATCAAAAAGAATTGAAAGGAATTTAGCTATTTCAGAACTCCATACACTCCAACTAATAATTACAGCCACATTCGCAATACCACTCAAAGTAAATAGTATCAAAAGCAATCCCAGATCTAACAAAGTAACATGGGCAAACTCCAGGTCTATGTAATATTGAATACTGATGTAGTGGCACCAAGTTAACAATGTCACAGCCCCTCAAACAGCAAAACTGCTCAGACGCATCACCACACGCGAAAGGCACGTGTCACGCTGAACACAAGACGCTGCCTTGCCACGCGACCGCGGGGTGGGGTCTCCCTGGCAGGGCAGCTTGCAGTGACACGGCCCCCCTCCCTGTGTACTGAGGTGCCAGGCTGACATGGAGCGTGACGCTCCACAGGGCACAAGGCAGAGACTCAACAGCACCAAACGCAAACTGGCCATCGCAGCCCACGCTGGGGAAGCGGGCAGGGGACACGAGGTTGGGGAGGGGGCAATGGCAACCAACGAAGCGAGGCCTGGGGGAGGGAAGGAACCGGGAAGCAGGGGCCAGAGCGGCAGGGAGACGATAGCCCGGTTGGGGAGCGTGACGGTGACAGTGCAGAGTAGAAACAGGGCGGCGGGACAGGGTTTAGCAGCGCAGCATGACCGGGAAGTTCCCCGCAAGGGGAGCGGGGCAGGCGCTGTTCCTCCGAGCGACACCTGCCCCCATACCGCTGACCTTAGCAATTGGCACAGAACCCACCTGCCAAAAGCGGCGTGGAAGGCGCCATGTTGGGTCGGACGCAGAACTTCTATTTCCGGGTCAGAAGTCACCAGCACAGACTCTAGAAAACACACGTCGCCCAGGTCTCCGATAGCGGGAACCGCCTCCTTGGCTACGTGGGCTTCTGCGGTCATGTGCTTCGAGGAAGCACGACTTCCTGCCTCAGATGGCCCCCCTCGTTACCGTTGACCCGGAAGTAGTGGGGTAGAGCGAGCGGATTGGAGGATCTGTGAGAGCGGAGACGTTTTTCCCTTCCGGGTGGCCACCGCCCCCCTCCTTCCCGCGTTGCGTGTTTCCGCTGGGCGGGGCGTGAGCTCGGTGCTTACGCTGGCAGCGGTCTGGGAGAAGCGGGCGGCGTTGAGTGCCTGAGACCCCCCAGCCCGGCACAGACTCGGCGGTTGAGTGGCGAGGCCGGGACCGTCGTTTCCCTCAAGTCCACAGAGCAGCGGGGAGGAGCGGCGCGGGGCCCCGGCGGCGCGGGGGGAAGATGGTGGCGAAACAGCGGATCCGGATGGCGAACGAGAAGCACAGCAAGAACATCACCCAGCGGGGCAACGTCGCCAAGACCTCGGTACGGGCGGAGGAAGGGGCGGGGGACCCTGGCCGTGCTCTGGCACACGGGGGCTGGGAGCGGGGAGCAGGACCCTGTAGGCGAACCGCTTTGTTCCCTCTGGGATCTGGTGGGGAGCTGGCAGGGCGTGGGGGGCTGTGGGGACGGAGCATGTGGGTCAGTGCGAGCCCTCAGAGCCAGGGGGGTTGGCTTGGCTGGAGGGGAGTTGGCCCTGATGCTGCTGCTGCTGCTCTCCCTGCAGAGAAACGCCCCCGAGGAGAAGGCATCCGTGGGGCCCTGGTTGTTGGCGCTGTTCATCTTTGTGGTTTGTGGCTCAGGTAAGTGTTGCACAGGGGTGACCTCATGCTGTGCTCCCTCCATACTCGAGAGGGAGGCCAGGCCTTTCAAACCTGCCTGTGAGCAGCGGGGCCAGAGTCCTCTTGGAACAAGCCCCCCTGTGGCTGTGCCCGCTCCTCTGGTCGCTGGAGAAAGCCCCGCAGGTGTCTGATCTTTCTTGGGGCAAGCCTGGAAGGAGATACTAATTAGTGTGCAGGTGAGATGGGTGTCCCAGCTGGTGTCACTCCTCACTGCCACCGACTGGCAGGAGTTAAAGAGGAAACTAATTTAAATGACTAATCTTGAAAGATGCAAAAAGCCACACATAGACTTACAGATCTGTGTAGTTACTGATCTTAACAAACACAGTGGTAATCGAGAAATGACTCGACAATATAAATGAGAAAGCTATAAAAATATTTAAGACAACCTAGCATCAGCAAGTTAGATGTGTATCTGCTAGTCATATTAACTTTAGTGAGTACCTGTACGCTGTGATTGGGAATATCTTGTTGGTTGTCCACCTGTTTTGAGCTTATCAACCTTAACCTTGCTTAAGATATGGCATTTAGCCATGCAACTTGTATTATATAACAGACTCTAAAGGACCCCACTATCAAGTTACAAATCACTTAAAGTAGGGTTTTTACACTTCTGTACTTTTGCTTTAGCACTATACTTACAGCAGTGGTTCTCAAACTTTTGTACTGGTGACCCCTTTCACATAACAAGCCTCTTAGTGTGACCCTCCCTTATCAATTAAAAAAAACTTTTTTATCTATTTAACACCATTATAAATGCTGGAGCCAAAGAGGGAGTTGGGGTGGAGGCTGACAGCTCGCGACCCCCCCATGTAATAACCTCGCAACCCCTTGAGGGGTCCCACCCCCCAATTTGAGAACCCCTGACTTACTGGGTAAAGCAGAGTAACCAATCTTTAGTGCCTACTGTTGGTTCCTAGTAATATATCTATGATGATTCACTTTTTAGAGTAACTTCTCTTTTCACATTGTGCATTGGACAACATTTTGTTTCTTCTTTGATCAGTCTCCTTTGCTGAAAAGATCCATATAAATATCAATAGGGGGCCTTAATTTTTAAGCCATTAAGAATACAAAGGATATACCCTTTAAAGGGTCATTTAAGAAAACAACTTGTGTGCCTTCATGAATGTGTGCGATTGATGTATGTGATTCTTCCGAGTATTAGCAATGATTTGTTTGACTTGTCTCGTAAGCATCACTTGTATTCATCTTTTCTTTTGCAGCTATCTTCCAAATTATTCAGAGTATCAGGATGGGAATGTGAAGGAGCTGACCTTAAACAAGTTGTTTTCATCTTCCTGTGAATTACAATGAACTGTCATTCCCAATGTTTGATACCCCGGTCTAAAAACTTAATTCATGATACTGTCCTGCTCCAGAACGACTTTCCATGTTGGCCATATGTCATTCCAGGTTCCTTCACAAGTCATTCCAAGTTTTCTAGTCAATACCACAGTGCCTTGAAAAGCACCCCATGTATAAAGCAATAAAATTCTATTGTTGATCTACAATCGTGGACCTACTTATTTAGTGAAGAATAAATTTTGTTTTTTTGTGTAGATATGTTAAGCTGTATGCAGCGTAGATACGTAGGAACTACTACATCTGTGTAAACACCGGTCTTGAGATCTGTTAACCCTATGTATAAATGGAAGTGGTTTTATTTAAAATTGAGACGCAGGGATTCTTTTAGTGGCTGTACTCTGAATTTAAAGCACACTCAAAGCTGAGTGGGCTTTGCTGCATTACATTGCTTATTTAAATGAAATATCATGTGTAGTTGTAGCCTAGTTTTACTATAGCATGTGGCAATGCATTGACGCTCAAATACTTATAATGGTGAAACACCTTATTCTATGCTCCTTGCAAGACTATCCTCATAAAAAAAGTATTAATGTAAAATCAGTAGGTTTTACATGATCAGGCTGACGAAACATGACAAGGCAACAACTGCTTTGGGAATGCTTTAGTACTAACAAGTTAAGGCATAGCAGCTATGATAAATGCTGCTGCTAAGACTCTCAGTGTTAAACTTTTGTTGGCAGCAGAGTTTATAACTTGGCTGTAAATATTTCTTGAACCACTTTCAATTAATGATACTATATGGTTATATTTTTATGCATGTACTTAACCATCATACACATGCCATTTAAATGCACACACAATACCTCCAAAGAGAAGTAACATGTTTTCATGTGAACCAAACTACTGGGTCCAAACCTGCCTTTGTCTCTAGCACTTAAATATTTCCCCGTCAAATATCCCGGCGGCATTCAAATAACCCTACAAATCTGATTTGACTTCCTTGTGTATAAGACTGAAATTATCTTGGTGATGTAATGTATCACACCTTGTTTATTGCAGAAGTCTCTCAAAAGCATAGGCTGTCAAACTACCTGTTGTAATAGTTAAGTCTAACTTAAAGGTGGAGTCAGTCTTCCATTGTGCACTTTTGGTAAAATAAAGGTCTGTTTTTCCAGCATGTTTTTTGGGTAGAGGAAGGGGGTATTACTCTAATTTGGTTGCATTAAGAATTAACTAAAAAAATAAGCTATGCTTCTTTTATAGGGATGTGTTGCTAACCACCTAGTGGCAGATCCTCACCTGCTTATATCCACTTGAAATTAGTGGGCTTGTGACAGTTTATATAGCTGAGGATCTGCCCCATAGTTTAGCCAGACAAGTTATGTTCTCTGTCCTTGGAAATTGGTATAATTTGTAAATGAAAAAGTTTGTGTACAATTGCAGTACTATTTTAAATAAATTACTTTTAAAATGTGAATTGTCTCCCTTTTAAACTTGTAGGTACTGACCATTCCAAACTAAATCTTCTGGTTTAATAGGAAAATTAGCTCCTAATTTTTTTTCAGTTATAGTTGTCTATACTAAGAGCTTTGACTAAGTGAACTTCTAAATGGGTGTACAGATGACTAACGTAGCACTAGTAAAAACAAAATAGGCAATACCTTTCTATAGTATCACTTAGAATGAATTTAAATATCAATTTTGCTGCATTTTATGTTGAATAGCAGTTTATGCAAGCTTGATTAAATGAGATGTTAAGTTTGTTTCAGTCCAGTGTGAATTTTTTTATACTCTGCTGTTTAGCAGCTGAGTTGGCTGCCTCCAGCATGGTATAACAATCACCATGACAGAGCTGAGAGAAAACATGGAGTAATTGCTTATTTTTAGTCAGATGTGGATAATCCTGATGTTACTCAGCCTTATGTGGCTGTAGTGAGAGCCACATAGCTTGAATGAGAGAAAAGTGAGTTTCTAGCTTTGAGTATCACAAATTTACTTAACACGTTATTACACTTGGAAAATGGTAGTGTCTAATTTCTATAAGGCTAAGTATTCTAGTTTTTCTTTAATCAAATGGCTGGAAACTATAGTCAGAGTCATTCCCTACTAATACCTAGTTTTGGCTGTACAGTTGCTAATCTGAAGTTGTTACAGCAACAATTTGGTCATTAACCCAGAAAGGCCATTGCTATGACACTTAGGCCTGGGCTACACTAGGAGAGGAGGGGGTCGAACTAAGATACACAGCTTCAGCTATGCTATTCACGTAGCTGAAGTCAAAGTATCTTAGTTAGACTTACCTGGCAGTCCTCACGGCGGCGAGTCAACCGCCGCGGCTCCCCCGTTGACTCCGCTTACTCCTCCTGCCAAGGCGGAGTACAGGTGTTGATTTGGGGATCGATTTATCTCGTCTAGACAAGACACAATAAATCGATCCCCAATACATCAAACACTGCCAGCGGGTAGTATAGACGTACCCTCAGAATTAACAAAAAGCACTGTTAAAACTAGTCAGGGTTAGATTTAATAAAGCACTAGAAATTGTACTCTAGGGCCTAATTTTGCATTGGCAGGGGCATGAACTAGCCAACCTAATCCAGTTTCCATTTCACTAAGTATTAAACCTTATGCTTAAATGAGAAACAGGTCTGATAATTAGAAACTTCATTAATAGAGCCACTAACATTACGTATAAGGCCGGCTCCTTAGCTGGTGTGAAATCAATGGTACTACTATGCAGATTTGTCAGATAAAGACCTAGTCTGTGGTAGGGGCTCTATTTGGTTAGCAACAAAATGTTTCCCATAATACTGGAGCGTCTCATATTACGGTTATGAAATACATGTATATGGCCAACAGCTGTTCATTAATTTCCTTTGCACTATGTCTTTTTATCCAAATATGTAAAAAATGGGACTTAAGTTGTGTCTCATTATAGAA